TGCCCTGAAGGCAGTGCTAGCACGGCAGGCTGGAGATCGAACCTCCTTGCAGGTGCTTCAATCCGCTGAGCTATTTGGCCAGCCCTACATTTTTGTTATTGAAGAAATATTTATTTTTTGCAGAACCAGGGATTGAAACTCAGGCCCCTGCGCTTGCCAGGCAAGCGCTTATTCTACTGAGCTATCTCCCTGGCCCACAAAGAAATATTAAAAGAAAAAATAAAATTAAGGGTGTGAGACCTAGGTGACCTTGGGTAACACAACTTTTAGTTTGCTTAACTGTATTGTGTAAAAATTAAAACCTGTGCCTCATGATTATTGAGTAAATGACATGAGGTTCCAAATCAGCTTTAGTTGTCAGGTCCTCTTCTACCCCCCAGCATGGGGATTGAAATGGCCTCCCACATGCTAGCAAGCACTCACGCTGCGCTGCATCCCCATCTGAATTTTGCAGTCTTCTAGTAACAACACAGGCTTTGGGTAACTAAACAGCCTCACTGATGGGGTTTTTGTTTCCACTCCTAACTCCAGTCTCTTCAACTTCTTCCTGTATATACCTGTGGCAGGTGGCAGTTGTCACATGCTCATTGTATGTGGCAGATGACATTGAGCCAGAGAAGAAACCCATATGCTGTCCTAAGAATGCAGGACATCATGGAACAAGAATTGGCGCTGGCTAACAAACAGTTGCTACTGGTGAGTTCTAGGATCTGAGGCTCACCCTTCACTGCCTGCACCTCTGTCAGTCAGTATTCCCAGCACCTGATCACAGCATTTTTTTTTTTTTTCCCGGAACCGGGGATTGAACTCAGGGCCTTGAGCTTGCCAGGCAAGTGCTTATTCCACTGAGCTATCTCCCCAGCCCCCTATCACAGCATTCTTACTGATCTTCATTCTGAGGCTTTTCACCATGATAGCAGGATAACTCTTTAACTATAAATTCCCAAGGTTTTTTTTTTTTTTTTTTCCAGTAAGTGTTTCATTGCATCCGGCTTGCACATGACATGAGTCGTCTTTTTTTTGTGTGTGGTACCAAGGATTGAACTTGGGACCTTATGTTTGCCAGGCAGGCACTTAAACTGCTGAGTTATATCCCTGGCCGTTATATCGGAATTGCCTCTCGGCGCACCTGCCTCACCCATACACTTTCTGTCCCTGGGGTCCCAATCTCTGTCACATCACCATCTCTATCCTATGCCTAACAGAATTCCTAGTTTGTGCCCAGTGGGGTGGCACATGCCTATATCACTGAATTCAAGGTCAGCCTGGGTGACATAGTCCAAGGCTATTCTGTACCACATAGCAAGGCTCTGTCTCAAAAAAAAAAACAAACAAAAAAAGTCTTGCTTTGTGGTATGTCCTCAGGAAATATTTGCTGATCTCCACCCATGGAGAAAAAAAATCAAAAAAACATCTCCACTGGTTCAGCCTCTGCTACAGTTTCACTTTATGTCATAACTAAGAAGCAGTCCAAGAAATCACAAGTCATAGTAAAGCAGGGAAGAGGGGAAAGGGTGGTAAAAGAGGGCCAGCACTACGCTCTCCTGTCCTCCAGGTCCGGCAAGCTGCCCTGCACCAGCTGTTTGAAAAGGAGCATCAGCAATACCAGGAGGAGCTCAACCAGATGGGCAAAGCTTTTTATGTGGAGAGACTCTGACAGCCTTCGAAACACTGCTCTTCCATTCTCGTCACACCTGCTAACCAAGCCTTGCTGAGCCTTTGCGCCTTGAACTACCCTCCCCAAACTGACCTGGGCTGGACCCAGGTTTAAAAAAATGCTCATACCCACCTCTTCACTCTTAACCTTGTGCCATTTAGGAATCAGTGCATGAAAAAAATGATGAAAAACAAGAGTGACGCCTTGTGGTCAGACTGAGATATGCCATGTCAACGTCCACAGGTGAAAGGATGGGCAATGTTACAGATGAAAATCCTGCTTTGGCTGAACAAATAAAGCTGTGTCTTATATATAAGGATCAAACTTAGACCACGTGGCCCATTTTTTCAGCCCTAAACCCAGATTTGTGCCTACCTTTCTGGATTTTATGTACCACTTCGCAGATCTCTCCTAATCTTTTCTGTATGGACAAATAACTTTGAATATGGCTATTAATCTACAGGCACTGTGGTGCTTCAGTATCAGGAGACATGCATTTTAGGCTTTGAATCGTCCTTTGGAGAAGCTCCTTTCTGCTGGGCCTGAATTTCTAGCTCTACAAGAATGAGAGGGTTGGGGCCAAGGATATAGCTCTGTAGCATAGCACCAGCCTGGCAAGCACAAGGTCCTGAGTTTGATTCCTAGTTACCAAAAAAAAAAAAAAAAAAGAGGGAAAGGGTTGTAAACTCATGTGGCTCCAGTCATTGGGCAGGTAATGTAGCAAGCACAAAAAACAAGAGTAGTGGGGCTGGAGAGATGGCTCAGTGGTCTAAAGCACCTACTTAGAACAAGCTTAGCAAAGCATCAGGGACCGCGGTTTGATCCCCCAGCACCACATGCCAGCCAGCCCCGCCCCCTGGAGGGCTGAGCTGGCCACACACACACACCACACACACACACTCTCTCTCTGTCTCTCTCTCTCTCAAATAAATAAAAATTAAAAAACAAGAGTAGTGGCATTTGTGGAGTCTGAAAAGAGCATGTCCATTCCGAGGCATTCAATATTGAACAGTACTAGTTGATCATATGCATTGATAGGCCATGGAGAACCTTACTAGCTAAGAGTTCCCTTTATGTACAGGTGCCATCTGGAGCAGCCAGTAACAACTACAGACTCACGCTGTTGCCCGCAATGTAACCCCACTCCAAGTTGTCTTTCTCTAGTCTCTTCCCCTGGCTCCCAGCCTTCCTGAAGGCCACTCACCCACTATGATACACTCTTCATTCTCCCCTCCCTCCAATTGTCTTCTGAAGCCCACATTTTTCATCACCTAACTGTCAGAGCTGCTTCCTTCTGCCCCTAAACACCCTTCTTGGGAGCACTGGGAGGCAGCAGGACACAAAAAGAACACAGGGCAGGAGGATATCACCACAAATTAGAGACCAGCCTGGGCTACATAGTAAGACCTTGTTACAAAAATTCCAGGCATGGTGGTGCATGCCTGGAATCCCAGCACTCAGGAGGCTGGGGCAGGAGGATCATTGTGAGTTTGAGCATAGCCTGGGCTACAAAATGAGCTCAAGGCCAGCCTAAACAGCATATCAAGACCGTGTCTCAAAAAGACCAATATTAGTAGTAGTGCATGTCTATAATCCTAACACTAAGAAGGCTGAGCTGGGGGAATCACTGGGGTTGGAGTTTAAGGCCAACCTAAATGACATAGTGAGAGCCTGTCTTAAAAAAAAAAAAAAAATCCACCATTACCACTTAAAGCCTGCCTGCCTCACCAGCCTACAAGCTTTTTGTCTTCTTTGGTGTAAGAATTCACAAATAATTACTGACTGAAGATGGAGGTCAGCCAGACATGGTGGCTCACATCTGTAACCCCAGTGGGCACAATGTAACCCATACCTGACAAATGTGCTTTATTGGAGACAAAACTGTACACACATGGCCTGCACTTGACCATTCCCTAAGAGTAGGTCTCTTATTCCCTCTGTTTTCCTACCCTCTCATCCCCAAAGGCTGGGTCCATCTCACTTCCCTCTTTCACCTCTTTTTTTTTTTTTTTTTGGTATGCTTCTTTCATCCTTGTCTCCTAGTCCACCTTCTGCTGCTAATTCACAGGCGGGATAGCCTAGAGTGAAAAAGAATAGCTTTAATCCTAAGCACATGGGTTGGCAAGATAGCCCAGTGGACTAACCAGCTTAGGCAAACATAAGGACTAGGGTTTGACCCCTGCACCACATGCCATGCCAGTGCTGCCACCAGGTTCACTGAGCTGGCTACCAAGACCAGGTGGCCAAGACACATCTGTAATCCCAGCACTGGGGAGGCTGAAAACAAGAGGATCACTACAAGTCCAAGCTGCATAGTGAGACCCTGTACCAAATATATATATACGATAGAAATAATGATCCTAAGAAAATTGGGTTTCAATCCTGACTGCCACTTACTGGTTGTGTGGCCTTGTATGAGCTATTTTAGTTTTCTGGGTTATAGTTCCTTCCCTGTAAACTGGAGACAATGTCTACCTCACTGAGTTGCTGTGAGATTAAATAAAGTACATAGCAGAGAGCTGCACATAATGTCCTTTGTGGTGACCCACAGTGATATGTTCCTACCTCTATGATAGCTTCTCCCTTATTTTCACTGCACTACCTGGACATCCCCTACCTCCAACCCACTCCTTCCCTCGCCAACCTCTTCTATTTCTCTCTTCCTCTTTTCTCTGTTCATCTGGACCCAGAGAATGCCCCATCCCTTCTGCCTGATTCCTGACCTTGGCCCTTTACCCCAGGGCTTGTCACTCCCGAGCTGGCTCCAGTATTGGCAGGTTGGCCCCCTGCAGAGCCCATCTTTGCTGACCCTCTCTGCATATTCTGTCTGCTCTCATCACGTCACCCCATTGCACCCACCCAGCCCCTCTTCCCTCTGTGGGGTGCCTTACCCAGTTCTGTGGCTTAGAAGGCCTCAGTGCAATGTGAACTAGTTGCTTAGGAAGCACCTTCAGGAGAGTTGAAGGGTTTTCATCAGAGGCCATGTGATATTTCTGTATGCTTATGCCATTCAGGGTCTCTTTCCAAGAGCGATGCTGCTCCCCACACTGATACTCCCAATCTGCCCTGTTCCCCCAGTGCCCAGACACATTTTTTCAGTTCCCACTGGGCTCCTTTCCAAGCTCTTTTCCTGCAGCCTCTGGTTCCCCAGTGTGGTCAAGCTCTCAGGGAAAAGAACTAAAACTTTGGGAGCTAAGGATAAGAAGAGAGGACAAGGAGATAAAAATTACACACACACACACACACACACACACACACACACATCCTCTCTGCAGGCCACAAAAATGGTACTCCACCACAGGCTCCTACCTTGGGTCCTGCATGCCCATTTGTTAGTCTTTCCCTGGAAAAAAAAGAGCCACACAACAGGCACTGACTGGGCTTGGGACAAGATATCGATCTAGATCAAGGTCAGTGTGGAGTTGGTGCATGGGGGGAGGGCTGGTGTCAGGACTAATGGAAACAAGGACACAGGGAACAGGCCTGAGGCTGAAGCAGTGTTCCCCTCCCACCCCACACTTCCACTGGAGCCCCCCAGCCCCTGGCACAGCTATAATTCAGGCCCCTTTCTGTCACAGTGGACAGAAGCATCTGCCCACTACATGACATCCACAAACCCGATTCTTTCCAAAGGAAAAACCCCAAGAAAGGAACAGGCTGGAGTCCTGTGAGGGAAGACCCTTGGAGATGCCAGTCGGGAAGTTCTCGTAGAAAGCCCCAGCAGAGAAGGGGAGTCCTAAAGACTACAGGCAACTTTCTAGCAGAGGGGGTTTCCTCTCTTACCCTCCATCTAAAGCCATAGTTTCAATTCTGTCAGGCAGGAGAGACCACAGGTCTTCTCTTCTTAAGCCAGGCTAGAGTCTGCCGGAGAAACAGCTCACTACTCTGTTCTGCACGTCTGACGCTGACTGTACAGAGGATGTCTGGAGGACATGGGAAAAAGGTGAGGAGGGACAAGATAGCAGAAGAAAATCAGCATCTTGGAAGCTTCTCATGCTACTTATCCATAGAATCTAAGAGCAGAAGTGTCTGAGGTGGGAGGGGTACTTGCGAAGGTTAGGAGCCTATTGGAAAAATAAAGCAGGATATGCAAGCCTCCCACCCCCATGCCCGGAAAGCCTTGGGGTTGCTGGAATGGCATCGAAGACAGCAGGTGGCAAAGCAGATGAGAAGCTGCTGACACAGCTGATCCTCTGGGCACTGGGGCCGTGACATAAGGGGGCAAAGCTTCGTGAGGGAGCTTTGGCAAATGATAGGTGCCCGGATGTGGAGCTCTGCCCAGTATCTCCCTCGCTAGGCCAACGTGGCCCCACAGAGGCCAGGCAAAGGGTGAGAGACGTGGTGGCAGGGACAGCACGGAGGGCAGATGAGTAAGAGGGGAGGGCAGGAGTCAGTGCCTGCTGAGCAGGTGGCTCCATGTAGACATGAGTGGCCCCTGGTGTCTCTGCCAATGCCTTTCTTGGCAGTGAGGAGGAGATGACCACCAAGCTCACCTGCCTGCTTCTGTGTGATATGTTTGATATTGGGTTGTTTAATGAGGAACCAACTAAATGTCAAACATATTCCTACAGTAGTAGGTGATTCAGCACCGCTAGCTCTTCTACCTCAACCTCAGGGGTTCTGGGATTCTTGTTATTTTTACCAAACTACTTCTCTCCAGGACTGCCTCCTCCCCACAGACCAGTAACAGCCACCTAATGTGGATTTTGATCTTAACCTAGAGGACCTGTATGGGAGTGGGGGAGAGTTCGAATTTGGTGATCATATCTCTATCTTGTCCCCTTATTCTAGAATGGCTATGTGTCTCTTCCTTCTTATTTTCTCCTTATCATCGTCCTCATTTTTCACTGCCTCCTCTCTCTGGGACCTTCCATTATTCCCTGGTCCCTTCCACTAACTAGTCTACCAGAAAGATCTTTGATTTCTCTGCTTCCCTTCATAAAGGAAGCTTCCCTTCATGAATGGTCCATCTGCCTGGTCTACCAGTAGTAGTCTACTACTATTAGCCTATGACTAGAAGCTCTCTGGGCGGACTCCAGCTCAATTTTGCCCTCTGCCCAATGGGTGTCTTAGTTCCTGCATTGTTGATGCTTACACTAACTAGGCTTGACATTATGACTAATTGGGTCACTTATATCCTTCCCTCATATCTCTGGTCACCTTGAGCAGTGCTCACCATTTCCCTGACATATTATTGGGTGTATGGCACCAGTGGAGGGGGATTACTGGCCACCTGTCAATAACAAGACACCAAATGGAAAAATGAATGTGGCCTGGAACTAATCTGGAGAAGAGAGGTGGCAGTGATGGTTATTATGATAGTGATATGGTGGGTGGTGGTTGTTAAGAAGCAAGAGAGAAAGAAGAGTATAGAACGACATAGATCTTAGTAGATGTGGGGGGAAAATTTTCTTTTAAGACCACTATGAGAAAATAGCATAATCTTGTCTGGATTACTTTCCCCATCCCATAATCCCATAACTCATCCACTGGGATGGCCTTCCAGATCCCAGTTGAGCTGTCTTATTCTATTCCTATGGCTCTTAGGGGGAAAGGAACAGCATCTCCCTGCCAATTAGAGACTCCCAAAATAGTACAGCAATTTGATCTGGGGATCTGGGGGAATTGTCAAGGATCATGACTGACCTCCCCCTCTTCACTTTTACTCAAGCTCCCTGAAATCAGGAGATTAAACTCAACCCATGGAGTCTGATCAGCATCCAACACAGTCTAGGGGAGAACAAGGAGAGAGTTGAAGGGCAACCACGACCTTCTGGATGAAAAATGGCATTCTAGAATTATTACATATCCTTCCCTTTTCTGATGATCTCCCCTCTCCTACCATGAACTTTTATTATATTCTGAGAGGAGGTCTCACTATACTGCCCATGCTGATCCCTCTCTGCACTTTTCAAATACTCGGAGAGCTGCTCAGAATGAGTGAGTGGTAAGTTTCAGGGGCAGGGAAAACCTCTCCCCTCCCCTACTTTCCTTTGTCTAAAATCAGCCTCAGCTGTTCCCCCCCCCTTTTTTTTTTCCTGCCGGTGATGTCAGTCCATCAGTGTGTCTTGTCCTGTGTTCTCCTGCGAGAACAATGATGGGGTAGAGAAGACCATATTTGGAATGAGGTGGAGTTGTGAGCACAGATAAAGGCTCAAGTCTAAGAAGCTCCCACACACTCAGGCGGCAGCCCCTCTTTTCTTGCCCTGGTCCCCAGTTCTCCAGCGTTCCCAGGTGAGTCCACCAGTAGCTGCTACCCAGGATGGAGGCCATCAAGAAAAAAATGCAGATGCTGAAGCTTGACAAGGAGAATGCTCTAGATAGGGCAGAGCAAGCAGAAGCCGAGCAGAAACAGGCTGAAGAAAGGAGCAAGCAGGTAGGTACTGACCATGAGATAGAATGGGGTTTTCACAAAACAGGAAAACCACTAGTTTCAGCAACTACTTTGGGTGGAGAGACTCCCCAGTCTCAGTGGATTAGTAGAGGAATATAGGGCACCCAACCCAGACTACCTGCGCGACCTTGGGAAAGTCAGTGGCCCTTTCTGGGCCACCATGCATCTGAAATGGACCATGTTTTAGAAGAAGCCCTGACTTCTGAAGGACAAGGTAAGAGTTTAGCATGCACCATCCCTTTTAAATAGAATCACATACATCTACACCCTTAGATATTTCCTGCCCAAGGGTCCTGGATGAGAACTCATGATGGCTTGGTCATATTAAGGTCAGCAATTAAAGAGTCACAGGTCAAAGCCATAGCATAACTTCTGAAGAAGTGGGCAGAAAGGGGCTGGGAAGACTGGGGGCAGGGGTCTGTCAGAGTCCAAGTCCCTATGGTTGTGTATACATGTTTTTGTGTGTGTGACTCTTGGGGCTCCAATAGCTGGAGGATGAACTAGCAGCCATGCAGAAGAAGCTGAAAGGTACAGAAGATGAACTGGACAAGTATTCTGAAGCTTTGAAGGATGCCCAGGAGAAGCTGGAGCTAGCAGAGAAGAAAGCAGCTGATGTGAGTATTAGATGGGGGATGGGCCAATCAACATGTTTAGATCTTCCTTTCTGACTGCATTCCAAATACGCTTTGACATATACACTACTCACTGGCACACAGAACACACATGTATATGTCCACAGACATGTTTTCACATAGCCACATGCTGATATACCCTCATGATGGCACATATTTTCATTCCCAAAGACTTGCTGGAGCAGGTGCAATGGTGCATGCCTGTAAGCCCAACTTATTCAGGAAGCTAAGTCAGGAGGAGGGCTGGCCTAGGCAACTTAGCAAGAACCTACCTTGAAATCAATACTAATTTTTTAAAAGGTTGTAATGGACCCCAGTGGTAAAGTGCCCTGATTTTGATTTCCAGACCTCCTTTTCCCTGATAAACACTGTCTGTTGGAGCTAGGGCTGTAGCTCAGTGGTAGAGTACTTACCTAGCATGCATGAAGCCTGGGTTCAATCTTCACCACTGCAAGATATAAATAAATAAATAAATAAATAAATAAATAAATAAATAAATAAATAGCAGGCATGTAGAAGTCTCACTTTTATCCCCCACCCCCAGGAATTTATCTTTTTCAGGACCTGGACAAAAGGGGAGGACTCCAAGTCCAGACTGCTATCATGTATCCCACCTCCTCCCCCATGCCACATTCTTAGCTTTTGTGTACAAGGTTTGGCATGTGGGCTTGTGTATTAATAGGGAATCTCTCATCTCTCAACTGGCCAACAAAGCTAGCTCAGATTTCACAATAGGAAATGGAGGTCATGCTGACCCTGACCCTATATGGGTTTATTCTATTGGCTGAAGTAGGCATTTCACTTTATGGCACCAGGATGACCTAGGACTCACAGAGCAATAGAGGGATCACTAGAGTGCTCTTACAATAGAAATTAAAAAGGGGGTGCTGGGGATATAGCTCAGCAGTGCAGTGCCTGTCTGGCAAGCATGAGGGCCTGAGTTTGATTTCTGGCATCTTCCTAGCCCCCACCAAAAAAGCAAAGAAACTGCAAAGGAAATTTATGCATGAAGGCACTACCACTAGACCTCTCCCCATGACCTTGAGGAAATTATCCAGCTTCTATAGGGCCGATTTCTCCATTTGGAAATGATATAAGCACATGTCTGTGACCTTAGCACTTGGGAGGCTGAGTAGGAGGATTGTGAGTTTGAAACCAGCCTGGGTGCATAGCATTTCCCATTGCATGTTATCTTATAATAACCTACATTCTTTCATCTTCAACCTTGACATTTTCTTCAAAGATTAATGAGAAACTAGACAGGAAAGTATTTGGGGGTTAAAAAGGACCATAAGAGGCCGGGGAGATGGCTCAGTGGAATAAGTGCTTACCTGGCAAGCGCAAGGGCCTGAGTTCAATCCCCAGTTCTGCAAAAAACAAAACAAAACAAAACAAAACAAAAGGACCATAAGAATATTTTTTGATACAGATGTGCTGAGGAGTCTGTCTAGGGCTAAGCTACACTCCTGGCCAGAGGTTTTACTTTTTTCTTTTTTGTTTGTTTGGGGTTTTTTTTTAACATAGAGACAAGGTCTTGCTATGCAGTTCACACTGGACTAGAACTCACTGTGTAGTCCACGCTGGCTTCGAATTCTTGGTGATCGTCTTATCTCAGCCTCTCAAGTGCTGGAATTACAGAGATGTGCCACCATGCGCAGCTCCACATAGGAATCTTCCCCCTCACACACATAGGAATATCAACAGCAACAAAAGAACAACTCAACATGGATAAAGATAGTCATTTTTCAACAAATTAAGTTAACAGAAAAATGGGTCCCTGAGCCTGAAATGCTTAAAGTCATGGTTGGTTTTGGAAAACAGCTGGGACCAAGTAGGTCATTCACAGTCATGGGCTCTCACAGTCTGACTGCCATGAGGTTTCTGATTTTCTCTTTGGTTTTCTATTAGGAAAGTAGTAAATTTGAATATATGTTACCAGAGGTTTAAATCACAAGTCAGATAATATATATTACATATGCTCAGTTTCCAAAAGTTTCAGCCATATCAAACTACATTTTCTCTTCTTGAAAAAACTGCAAAACAAACAAAATTTAAAAAAAAAATTGTACTAAGAGAACAAACCCACAAGTTATTCCCAGAGCTTTGGGTAATTGCTTGGTGGCCTGCTGGAGTTGCCTATCCTACTTTACAGGTATAGATGGCCAAATCTGTCTGGTTGTAGTGTATGGCCAGGACGACAGACATTTTTACAAACAAGTATATTGTCAGGTTAGTAACAATTTTGTGAGGTGTTGGGTAACAATTCCCTGGCAAGGTTTTGACGCTGAAACAGTCAGTATGCAGACTGTTATGCCAGGAACAAGAAAAGGAACAAAGAAGTCTTATCTGTTTATAGTGTGGTGTCCTGTCCCACACCTGTGACCCTAGTAATGGGAAGGCTGAGGCAGCCAGCCTAGGGTACATAGTGAGTTCAAGGTCAGCCTGAACTACATAGCAAAAGCCTGTCTCAAAAACCAAAACAAATAAGCAAAACACCAGGTCTAATGTGAGATCTTGGGAGAAGAGAATAACAGAGGCTCTAGGCAACATATCAGTTTGATCTGGAAAATAGGAAAAAATTCCTGAGCTAGGGGTGGTGGTGGTGGATATCTGTGAGTGCAGTGCTCGGCAGGCTGAGGCAGGAGAAACTCCATGAGTTTGAAGCCAGCCTGGCCTACATAATGACTTAAAAGCCAGCCTGAATTACAGAGTGAGACTGTCTACAGAAAAAGAGAGAGAGAGAGAGAGAGAGAGAGAGAGAGAGAGAGA